CTTCCCATTAGTGGCCATGCTCGATCCATGACGCATTTTCCTCCAAGCCCTGAGCTGCCCCTTTTTTTTAACATTCTCTGGGGCGGATCTATCAAAAGCCTTACTAAAAAACTAAATAACAATATCGAATTCTTTTCATGTCAACGGGCCCCCCCCAAAACTTTACTGAAGAAGGGTTTAAAAATTAGTTAGCAGGAACGGCCCTCGGGGAATCCATGCTGATATCATTAAACAACTATGCTTATCCGATGGTTATTATCAGCTATAATTGACTGTAATTTGTCTACAATTGAGGTTTGGGTTATTTGGGGGGTAATTTTTACGGTAACAACTTGTCCCCCGCTTTAAAAATGGAATTCATTAGCCATCTTCCACATGTCAGACATACACCTTTTTTAAGAAAAATATTAAAAACATTATCAAAGGTTAACAAATTCCATTTTTCCTCTTTAAGAACCCTAGAAAAAAATTCTCAGAGCCCGGGGTTTTTTTTTGCTTCAGTAGTCTATTGTTTTATAACCATTTCGTAGGACTATGATACTGCATAATTTATCGTCTTCAAGCCAACATAAAAATGTATTATGGGATATTGTTAGTGTCCCCTGACGAAAGTGAGAGAAAATAAATTTTTAAGAACAAGCACATTTCATTCTCTTTTTCAGTAAAATGCCCGAGTTTTCTTTTTGGGGCCCTTTTTATCTTAAAATTTTTTTCATAAAACTGGAAAAAACTTTTTGGTTGTTTTCGAATCCTTACAACTTTAATTTTATGTCCCGTTTAACTTTTCTTATCCCCTTTTTAAAGCTCTCTTTAAAGCAATATAAGATTCATAAATGACCCCCGCCTCTTTTTATGCACCTTAAATTCCTTTTTTCTGTCCTAAAAAAAAATTTGAGCCTAAATTTTTCACCTTTTTTGGGGCATTTTTATTTGATCTAATTTTTTTATAGGGGATAATTTTTCCTGGGCAGCGTTTAGTGTTTAAAAAAACTCTCATATTGATAAATTTTTAAAAAAAATTCAAAATGGGTTAATGGAAATGTCATATTAAATAAATACGAATTTTATCGCCTAAGAGATTATTACGTAGTATTATTAATATGGCGTCAAAAATAGAGAGCGTGATTTTAAGGTTTAAAATGCATGCCAGCACAGTAAGTATATTTAGGGACAAAACATACACATAAGAAAATTATCAGAGTACGTACATATAAAAATGCAATAACTTTAAAACACTTAAAATTTTTGGAAATTTCCCCCGACATAAGATATATGTGCTCAGGAAAATGTAAACCCAACCAGGTGGGGGGGCGCCATATTTGAAAGATGGGGGCCGAAATAGTTTTTGGTCTAATTTGAAATTGCCGAAAATTGGGGAAAGCGTAAAGGGGAAACGCTGTAAAGTGGGGCCCTACGTAACTGCATTAACAGAAAAATAGTTACTCTAAAATTTTTTTTAACTATGTTGTAAAAAGTTGGGAAAAATTAAATTGGGGTTATTATAAGTAATGAAAAAACCTGTTTAGTATACCCGTACAAATTATAAAGGGTTGTATGCAGGTAAAATTTGCAAACAAATGTACCCTTTTTAGTAAATGATAAAGAAAGTGACTTTTAAAGTTAATTGTTAAATACTGTATAAAAAAAAGACATAAGCAAAATATGAAATCAGGGGAAAAAAATCAGTAGATTGGAAAAACAAAGGGTTAACTGAGAAAAATTTATAGGGCATCTTTAGAAAGTCCAAACCATAAAATAAAAATCCAGTAAAGTGAGTCAGCCTTTTTTCATTTAAAGTCATATAAAAAGCCCGATAACAAATTTACACTCTAAATTAAGTGAACAATAAGCTAGTCCTAAAAAAAAAAAAAAAAAATACATTTTAAAACCCGTACACTTTTTACTTACCTTAAAACACTTTCTTTTTAGCTTTATGTAGTGAGTGGTGAATTTGAAACTGGAAAAATTTCCAGAATAAAAAAAATGAGAACACACAAATCTGCAAGACGAATCACCAACAAACAACCCTGGTCATGACAAATGTTTTGCAAGTTACTGCATTAATGTGAAAATAATTTGTATAAAATATAAAGTGTTTGTATTGTGGGGAAAAATGCTTTATAAAAGTATATTTAAAAATGTTTTTTTAGGGGAACACACACATAAGGACACACATAAATGGAAGTAACTAGAGTTCAATGGTTGTTTAATTTTTTCACCCAAAACGATATTATATACATACAGTAGGGCCCCACTTATACGGCAGGTTAGGTTCCAGGCTGTCACCAGAAAGCAGACATCGCCGGAAGGGGAGAAAACCATTTTTTTCCATTTATAAAGCATATAAATCCAGGGAAACAATTTACATAAATTTTATTAACTTTGAAAAGAACTAGGATTAAAAACACAAAAAAAATACATTCCAGTACATTCATTTTTTATCTTAAAGTTTTGTAATCTTAAAGAGGGAGAGAGGTGATAGTACTACTTATTTGTAAAGTAGGGGGAGGTAGCCCAAATGTAGGTAGCCCCGGCCCCCACTCATACTTAATATACAATATTTAAAAAAATATAGGTTTAGGTTGGGAAAGCAAACCCAGGGGAGTCTACCGCCCGCCCGTGACGGAAACAAAACCGTAATGTTTTGCATGATGGAGGATTGCGGTTCTTTTTCTGTTCATAAAAACCTGATAACAGGGATATTTGCTATTCCACTTACCTTTTGGGCAAACTTTCCAGACACCCCTTGCATATAACAAAGGCCCCCCTTTTTAAAGGGGTTGGGTTTCCACTTTTGCCGAAAAGGGAAACCGGCCCGTTAAAAGGGGAACAAACCCTTTTTTTCCAAATTAAAAAGAAAAAAATAAAAAAAAGTTTAAACTATTTAAATTGCAAAGAACCCGGATCAAAAAAATAAAAAAGTCTCAACCTGGCCCTTTTTAACCAAAAATATTAAGTCTTTCTGGGGAAAAATTATATTTTATTGAAAAAACAAAGGGGGTAGTTTGAATAGTAAGGAAAACATAATATTCATGTATTTAAGATCCCAAAGACGAAAATGGGGATATACGTTTCACCTCATATTATTAAAATTTTGAATTTTAAAAAAAAGGGGGGTAAGGAAG